TTTCCTCTTTTTCTTGTCCCAGTTAAAAAGCCTACGTCCCTCGACGTTTTACATGGCGTTTTCTTCTGGAAACCATCAATTTCTTCTTAAAAACCAGAAGTTGGAATCCTGGAACTACTTCCTGTTACAGCTTTATGTGCAATTTATTGGCACTGTTGTGCTGGATTTTGATGAGCCATGACAGCAACACTTGCACGCCTGTTTATGTCACCAGCTTTGGAAAAATCAACTCTTTTCTCGCCAGATGTTTTGCAGAGCTTACTGATGAAGCTTTCAGCAGGATTATTTATGGGATTCCAAATAAGAGTATTGCTATGTGATATCAGTACTCTTGTCATTTCCGCTTCAATTGCTTGCAACATACATGAGGAAAATATTCCATTGCATGTGCTGTTCAACTCTGCACCTTTCTTTGCACAAAAAGCACTACAAGCATCATGCTTGCGAAATATATGATGTGGCCCATTTCTCAAGATCAGATACTAATGCATCAATAGCTTCTTGTGTGTGCTGATGAATGGCTAGGTAAAGCATGAGCTTTTATAGCTACTCTAGCACCCTTGACTAACAGTGGCATTTTAATTTTCAGCAATTTATGGGCAGCAATTCCTTTAGCCCCGGGGAAGCGCGCAGTATTTTGCTGAAGTTTCTCAAGAGCTCTGCGATATCTTCGAACAGCATGGTTAGCACATTCTACTTTTATCACCCGTCCTCCATATGAAACGCTTTCTTTCACTTTTAGCCATTGCGTTAGTTAGCTCCATCTCCATCTCCAACAAGTCAAGTACAACGTATTTTATTGAACACACTTGGAGATAATTCAGACCTTTCCACAATGGCACTGCTTTCCATACCTGTAGAAGGCCCATTCCAATTTCGCCAAGAAAGGTGCACTTTATTTGGCATCTTGCCATCTTCAATAGCACTGCATATAAGGCACACTTTGTTGCGAATTCCAACAAACAAAAATTTTCTGGGTGACCATGCCTATAATAACAGATATGTCCACTTGAAGCATTGTAGCCATGCCCATAGCATGCCATGCCTTCTTTTACACCAACCTCCATCAACAATGACAGTTATACAGTGATAACCATCATTATCTTTATCCATTGCGAAGTTCTGCCTGCCTTTTCTCCTCTTCTATAGCAGCACACATAGTTTCCTGTGCACATCCCTGTATTATTTTGCCAGTAGTTCGCTCACAAGAAGCAAAGGTCGAGTTGCTCATATACGGAATTTCCATGATGCTAAACTTTTTTCGCTCCTCTTGTGAAAATCCACTGCCAGTAGATAACGCACCTAATACTGCAAGCTTGATTTAGGCTGCTTTTCTCCATATCAGAACAAATTGTTGCCAAGTTTCCGCACAAAAATTTTATCACATACATAGTTATATGTAGTGACAAGACCACGTCGAATCACTTTTTTCAAAATAAATTATCCTCCAAATTTACAATTTAGGGAATGCTGCTCTAACTTCCTAGCCTGCACTATCACAGAAGACATATTGCAAATTGTTCTGCCAGATGGTAATGGATTTGCCTTTCGTCGATCTTCCCTTTCGAATAATTAAAGGTGAATCAGGACACACAAATTCCATCATTACGGTTCTCCTGAAGAGGCTCAGACTCCAAGCTAAAATATATATACACAATATATAACAATATATATATATATATAAATATTACAAATTAGGTTTAAATTTGGCTTATTTGATGACAGCAAAGCACTTGATCTTCCTAAGATGAGGAATGCTTTCATGGAGGACTTTCTAAGGGAAATGGCTCATATACACGGGGAAAACCATGAAAACGCCCATGCAGGCAGCCCATTCGCAATTAGGTTTAGGAAATTTAGGCAACAGATAGCAAATAAATTAACAATAATAATACACTGGATTACCAGTATATTACTACAAGAAGATGAGTCATCTTCACAACTGCTGCTTCCATGCTCGCAGTGTCATTTGCTCGTGCAATATTAGTCACTACTTTGTGTGCCGGAGGTTTCACATGAAGGGCCTCTTACACCTGAGTATAAAATGTTCGTGTTCCAGTAAAACACTGAATTCAGAGGGGTAAGAATAACTCTTTCATGGTGGATAACCTCAGTTACCAAATGGCTTTCTAAGGCTCTATTCAAGCCGTTGTATAAATGTCATAATTCCCAACTAACAACAACGCTTTGTAGTCAGACCTTGCTATGTCACAAAAACTAGTTTGGGGCATTAAGCTTTGAAGTTTTCAACTTTGTGCCGACTTGATATAAGAGTCGGCCAATCAGAGCATATACATAAAACCTATTGAGAGAGAAAGCTGTAGGACACATACATGCATGCACAAATTTAGCTTCTCTAATTGGCTATGGCTTAGACCCTCTCTCGCAGGTGTGAATGGAACACTCCCACATTTTGTGCCTTATGATTATGCGTCTATGACATTTATACCATCATGTGAACGGAGCCTTAGGATGGCATACTAAGAAGATGCACTGTCTTGTGGGGATAAGCAATTTATACTCCTAAGCCTAAAAAAAAAACTTGGAAAAAAAAAGATCACGACTTAAATTTGTTGTCTAATTGCTCTAATTTGAGGCACATTATGAGAGGAAAGCAAGGTAGTAATCAGAATTATTTAAAAAATTTTATATCTTATATTTTTCTAAAAAATTCTGTAAAAAATAAAATTTGTGGTTTTCCTCAAATAAATATATATGGAAAAAATAACAGCCACATAATCACGGATTTCATTTTGTTATATTTTATTAACAAAATTTAAATTATTAAAAATCTCTTTCATGAAGGGAACATAAAACATCATGAAAACAATGAAAAAGAAGCAATATTTAAAAAAGATAGTAGGCTTATTGATGAGGCTCCCATCAAAAGAATCAAACCCCAAAATATTTTCATTTGCTTCAGTGTCCCGACTGAAAATTTCACTGATTTCAATGAATATATTTTAAAAAAAATCTTTTATTTTCAAGTTCTTTCATGCAAAACGTCCAAATTTGGTACAAATCAAATTCATCCCCCTCTTTTTGATAGCTACAATATTATATTTAACAGTTTTAATAGCTATCAGTATGTAAACAACATAATGTAACACCATAAAAGAAAAACATAAATGATGACATTTTAATTTTGGCATAGAGAAATACATATTTACTCCAAAAGAGAGCTTGTATTTCTACCTTCTACGTCAGAGTCAATAACTGAAATGTCCAGATCAGAACTGAGAAGAAAAGAACCATAATTAGTTTAATTAAGGTATAAGTACAATAACACACCGACCAAGTATTAATTTGAGAGTCAAGCAACAAAAATCAGCATCATATTTTGAAATATTCACTATTTGAAAATATAACGCTGATTTTGGTTGCTTGACTTCTAAATTAATACATAATTCGTTAACCATAATTAAGTAACTGTAATATCATGCACAGCTAATATCTATTTTAAAAATAAACCAACTTACCTCAGGAAAGCCTGGTTTGTCTTAGGAACATTAGCTGTAACTTCTGGCGTAGAAAAGTCAAATTTTTCACTTCCGGACCTAAGAATGAAAGAAATAAACTGCTCTAAAATAATAATAATAATAATAAAAAAAAAAAAAACATGAATAAATAAATAACACATAACAAATTTAAGCATTAAGCTATGTATGACTACCACCCATCTCAGACAGTGCGACAGATATTGCTGTATACTGTTTCGCCATACCCTGTGTAGCTATTATATCATGCTGTATAACCACAGTTTAGAAAAATTACAAAATGTGTTATTTATATCTATCTAAAATGGTACATTACTACATGATTTGTAAGAATAAATTAGAGGGCTCTGCGAATGAATTCCTTCCAATTAAAAAATGTAGGAATAAAGAAAATGCAGGAATTGCAAATGCAGAAATGAAAAAGGGGATTATATTTTTTGTACAGTAATTTCAATATTAATTTTAGGGGCATAAAATATTAGGCCCCTAAAAGCAGAATATAGTTTTTAAATCTTCAGATAATCTTCCTATGAGAAGAATTCCTTTGAGAAGTACACATCTGAACCACAATTAAAAAACATGTACAAGAACAGAGCTGAGGACTTCTGTTTGCAGAAAGTCTGTCACATAACATATGAAAAGTTTCTTATTGGTAGATTTTTGATCAGACGGATATTTTAATGTTATACAGAGAAAGCATTCACTTCCCTTTATACTGGAGATAATTCAATTTGGACAATGGCAAAAAGGCTAGAAAGCAAGCCTGAGCGTATTGGTCCCATTCTTGGCACTAGTTTGGTTTACGCTCAAAATATACACAGCAGATATTTTCTAATTACCTGCATCCCAATATCAATTCAATTCAGCTTTTGGTGGAATTTACCATTTGTGACATATTTTTCAAAAACTACACTTCACAACATGCATACATGACAAATACACAGAACCATAAATAAACAAGCAATAATATATATTTATATATAAATTTTACTAAATGATCATAAAATGTTCCAACGCTAAAAGAAAGTTTTAACATCCAAGTAAATGACATAATAAAAAAAAGCAAGTTGAACAGCGAGCACATGAATAAATGTGCATACGCCTGTAAAAATATACCATAGGTAACTGACAAAGCATTTCGTAGCAAACATATGACTATAAAATTTCCAATAATACATGTAATGATGGTGAATTCAATTTAGATCGCAAGAACATGCTCATACTTTTGAAAAGATTCAATTATTTCAGCAATTCCTTGTGAATTGGAATTTACCCTTTCAATATTTCCCAACAATTTAGTGTGAATGGAGGAATAAATTCTTATAACAGAATTGAACAATTATTAGCATCCCCTCATACACACACATACAAAAAAAAAAAAAAAAAAAAAAAAAAAAAAAAACTTACTTTGTAAAAAAATCATCCGGGCAATGATTCTCCTTTGACACAGATGCAGTTGTATCAATAATTTCTGACCTTCAATAAAAAAAATACGCATATTTTACTTCGGAATTAACTTACTACGAAATCATAAACACGGGGTAGTCGATATAAAGAATAAATTATTTCTCACCTTTCGAAAACATCCGCTTGTTCGGAATCTTCCACATCTCGGGAATTTAATTTCATATTTTTTTCTTGAGCTCGACGTTTACGCTGAATTCTGGATCTTTTATTAAAACCAGGATGTTTTTTCGGTCGTCCTTGATATTTTCGCATATTTTTTGCAAACTGACCACAGTACAAATAAATGTAAACAAAACGAGTGCGGAATAGCAATGCAATAGGGTTGCCGTAAACGTCATTCTGCTGACAGCTGACAATGTTTAGTGAAAAACTGTGTATAAAGGAATATATGAAACGCTTCTAAATATTATTTAGAAAAAATATGATTTATAACTGATATCAAAATCAATTACTTCGTGAATTTTTGCAGAAATAAGATTACAATGTTAAATTTTAACTCGTAGCGCCATCTATTGATGGCTTTCCAAACTACACATTAAAATTACGTATTTCAAACTAATTTTTTAAAAATATAATATTTAAGTAAATTTCATTTCAAACCTGATTCTAACATTGTGATTCGAAAACTGACCTATTGCTTTATATTTCTGCCAAATTGCACGCAACATAGTTTCTTAATTAGCGATTCTGCGTGTAAAAAAATTTTTAGTATTGTAATGCTGCTGTAGTAGACCACCTTAACAGTATTATATTTCGTTCATATTATAACTATGTCTATGTCTATGTCTATGTCATAACACAATTAAGAGGCAATCGGCCTAGTGCGGCCTTTACCAATATATTATAAGTAGGGTGTCTTTAATGATGAGTTGAATCCAGTAAGATGGAACGTACTTTTTGCACCTAGTGCAGAGCCTCTAGAAGAGAAGTAAACGTGGCCCCACGATGTGAGGATCTGCAACTTGAGAATTTCTGCCACTCGGCTATACTTGTCTTGCTTATTATAACTCTGAATGCACAAAATTTATATCATTTAAAGAATTATCTAATCGTTGCCACATGTTCTATTCAAATACTATAATAAAGCTAGAACGATGTATTAAAGAAATTAAGCAAATAAAACAAAAAAGAAACAGTTTTTCACAGACGATTGAGTATTTCTCATTCAATTAATTCAGTTTTCATTTCGCGACAAGGCAAAAATACATAAAAACTCAAAATATCTGTATTAAAAATTACGAAGTAAATCTTAAACGCTTATTTCCTCGAAAAAATTCCAGAAAGGATTAAGCATGATTTAAATAATAAATGAAGACGTTATCTTTGTTGTTGCGAAGCTAAGTTTCTCTAGATTGGCAACAAATCCTCTATCCTGCTGTTTCAAATGTAAACAAGAGCAATGGCCGCCATCAAAAACATAATTAGGCTTAGCGGCACTTAAACAATTTTAAAATTGTTGATAATTCTAAAAATATTGCATACAGATTTACTAAAGGCATAAAACCCTTAACCGGAAATTAAAAACAACATAATTCAATCATTTTTAAAGCAAAAAATGTACAATTTACAAACATATAAGAGTAAAGAAACTGAGATCACTGAGCCGGGTAACAAAGTGGATATATTTATAAATATATTTATATACGTTTGGCGCGGCCGATAGAAACCAAAATACGAGGTGCACATCTACATGTTATAGTAGTCTTATATACAAAATTTCAACGTTCTGAGGCTACTCGTTTTTGAGTTATGCGAGATAACTCTTAGAGATTCTTTGCTTGTAGTGCCGGTTTGGCCGCTCCTTCCTTTCTTACCTTCGTGATTGACACCCGATATCGTTACCTGATTGAACCGTGACCTTCGTAAATTTCGATAGTATAGAATAAATTTTGCAGTTTATTATAAAGCAGAGCAAAGTTCCAAACATTGCAACGCTACTGCGAACTTTTCTCACAATTGCTTAAGTGCTGTATTTAAGACCTGCAAATGCATATTCTGCATTTGAAATGTCTTTCTCTACTGTCTACGTAACAGCAACAAGAGCAGTGAAGCAGATCTCTACAGTGTTATCGATGATTTAGAAAAACAAACAAAATAATAACATAATTTACATTACGAGACTTTTTTTTTTTTTTTTTTTTGAGCAGACAAGATGAAAAATATGAAACGCCTTCGGCAGGAATCGAACCACTGACCTCTCAATTACGCGCTGAACGTTCAGACCACCACACCACGAAGGCATGCCAAGAAAGCGGGAGAAATACCTTATAGATTCACTATAAGCGTTGTTACACTTTTCGAATTGTTGCCACCAAATATTATCGCCCTGTATTATATTTAAAAAAATTAAATAATGAAGAATTTGACTAAATGTATGTATATTTCTCGCATTGTGATAAAACAACGGTACCTAGAGCCATCAAATTTTGAATAACGTTTTTCTCCTTCGAATATGGCTATCTGGAAGCCCAAATTTGAAATTTGGAATTATTTTTATTATAGATTTCATATTTTTTAAAACTTTAACGAATCTTTGATTAACAAACTCAAGGATTTCAAAGCAAGCAACGGCAACGTTGTACATAAAAACATTTTTATCTCCAGCGCGCGAAACTGTGTATCGGAAATTCTAAAGACATGCTCATTTAAAAATTATTTTGCGATATTGCTCTTGAACTGAATTTTATGTTTTAAGTGCGAAGAAGATGATATTTAATAAATAAAGGTTATACACAAAATGTTAAAAAAAGCCCCTATGAACAAACGTAATTTAAAATCTGAAACCTTTCAGTTTTTTTTTTTTAATTTTTTATTTAGCAAAATATAAAATAATGATAATTTTCGGAAAACTTCATAGAAAATATCGATGAAACAATTTTTTACATGTCGCCCGCTGCTTAGGTTCATAACAAAGTTATAAACTTGCATATTTTATTTGTTGCAAACGATCAAACGATCTTTTTTGCAATCAGAAGAGTGTTAGAAGATTTTTGTGACATGGTCTTGAAACTGAAGATACAAAATTTTCAAGCTCTGAATTATAGTTTAGGGTAAAGTTTTCTGATAACCGAAAAATGACTACAGTAAACCCTTGCCGAACGCGGACTTGCGGAACGCGATTTTACATATACGCGTTATCTTAATTGTCTCCATTTTATTTGGAAAACGCGAGAATTTCAGTTATACGCGATGTGCTGCAGAGCGTCAGCCGCTTTCCGTTAGTTCCCTATAAATAACTAGTTTGAAAATTTATCCATTCAAGAAGTGAAATATTACTTAGAAAAACAACTCCTAAGCTTTAAAATTCTCCTAGTTTTCGATAATCCTCCATGACACGATATGGAAGCCCTCACAACATTGCACCCAAATCTTAAGGCCTTATTCCTTCCGTTGAACACCACTTCTTAATCCAACCAATGGAGAAAAGAACCATAAAACCTTAAAGCCTATTTTGTCAAGCATGCTTACATCTCTGCAAATAAAGCACTAGAAGACACGGCTTAGTAATGGCATTTTGGAAGCAATTCAACATAAGGAACTGCATAAAAATAATTGAGCTCGCATGAAAACAAATGAATTAATTCATCAACAGTGAACGCTTGCTAGCATCGGCGCTGGCCAGAATTTGTGAACAGTTTTTAAGGAACTCAAATGAAGCGAAAGAAATTGAACAAATTACAAACGCATAAAAAATGGGAAATAATTTTTCAGGTATGCAAGAAGAAAATATCACACAATTAGAGAATCGCGTTCGTTGATATGGCAAATGAAGTACTGAACGATCTTATTACATCAGACTACGGTGAAAGATACGATAGTGAAAAAGTTAAAGGGCCTTTAACATACAAAAAGCTAAAAGAATGTCAGAAAAGATAAAAGAACTGTTTAGTTTTGTAATGGAGATTCACCCAAATGAAGAAAGAACAGCACACTTTATGAGAGGTTCTAAAAACCGTTTGATGCGAAAAACTAAAAACCGTTTGATGAGTCAGACATTGTCCCATGCAAAATCACCAGCTATTTTAAAATAATAATAATAATAATAATTGTATCATGTGCCTACTTATTAAGCAGCAATAGAAATCCTTTCAATTAATATTTGTTTCATTTCCTAACATTTGTTCATTTCTTTTAATTGCAATAAAATATAGGCTTGCTTAAATTATACATGTTTTCTTAATCTGAAAACCCGTGTTTTCCATAGAAAGTTAACTTTGTGGAACGCGCTTTGCTGTACGCGCAAGTGTGTTAATGACGTAACTCCCGCATTCAGCAGGGGTTTACTGTATGTAAAATTTCTCTTCAAAGAAAAATCTTGTTCTGTAATTTCAGTTTATTACATTTGAAATTTTTTCGCAAATTAAAAGTTTCTAGTCATTTATGTGAGATACTGTAGGCAATCAAAAATCAAAGAACATATGGAATATGTTTTAATAGTGAAAGATTTTCAGAATTTGAATATTATTTTGACAATGTGTTAACAACGGTGCAGAAATTCAATTTCTAGACTTCCTGACTGTTATCAAAATCATTACTGTTGCAGATTTATCAAATATTATGCAAGTAAACGTCTGTCTCATGAAGAAATCTTTTGTTATCAACAATATCGCTCACGTGACTACGAACCATGGTCACAGTCAGATGACAAAATTTTAAGTTTGTTTAGCATATCAGTTATTAATGACGCAAAAGATAAAGAAAACAGGAAATAAGCATTGAATACAGTTTCAGTTCAACAATTTTAATTTAATTTTTCTCCATATTACAATAATATCTGATTTTGAATTTGGTACACTATTAAATTAAAACAAAATAAATAATTTAAACAAAATTATATCACTGTTATTTGGATATCACAAATATGATGCTAAATCGAAAGTTCATATTCTAAAATATCTCGCCGTTCTTTATATTAATGTTAAAATTCTACAGTGACTCACATTTATTTTAGAACACTGGCATTTTTTCAAAAACCGACAAACGGATCTTAACAGTTTTTCTTCCCCCATATATGTTGCTTTATGTTTAGAAACCTAACTGTTGCAATAGAAAAAATGTGCTCAAAATATTTCTTAAAATAAAGTAATTTATTAAAAATGGTTCAAAAACAAACACAAGGACACTCCAAAATTTTGAGGGAATGTTTGAAAAAAGGAAAATATATCAAGTTTTTTACCGAAATATTTTAGTAATTTCAAAGAACATTTGCTTAAAGAACATGGCAACATGTTATAAAACCAGTAAAAATTTAATTATACATTCGAACCCCACTATATAACGAACTCCCGGATATAACGTACGACCTTTTTGTCTCATTAATTATCCTATACACTTAATATTACTTTATACTGTTATAATAAACCTCCAGACTATGAAAATC